TTTTTGTCTCTTCTTAATTTTCTACAACTTTTTTTTCTTTTTCAACTTTTTTCTACTATTTTCTTTTCTTTTTTCCCTGGTTTTTCATGCATATATCCAGTAATCTGAATGGCTAATTTGATGACAACACTATGCAATACAAACTTCACTGTCAAATTTATATTATTTTGTTTAGTGAAACTATATCATTTCTAATTTTACTTTTATATTGCTATTCCATATTCTTTTTAATAAAATAAAAGGAGTGTGCACTAAAAATATTTGATTTGAACATATGATCTCAAATAAAAATCTTTTGAAAATGGTCACCATTAGGAACTATACTTAAATATCCATGATGTCCCTTGTGCTGAATCAGTGTTGAGATTCATCTCTTGTGGTAACCATTAAGTTTTTTTGACATATTTCCTGACTTCAAGTATTTATGCTTTTTAAAAATGTATTTACTACTGAGCCTACAGAGTCAATAAAAGTGTTTTTCTCAATGGACTGATGAAGCAAGTGTAAGCATAATCCCAAAAGCTAAGTGCTCAGACTTCCGTCCGCAGTGGGACGTTGCTGACATGAGCTTGTCTACTCCCCACATGACCACCCGCAAATACCGCATTCATGTGAATGTGTGAGTTTCATCCCTCCAAATTTGTATCTAGAAAACTTTATTTAAATCAGAATTTAAGCCCATGCTTCCAGAAGCATAAACTTGTAGGGGAGATCAAAGGCATGGAGCTAAGAGAGGGGAAGAATGGTGCTGCTAACATGTATTTATTGTTCATAATGTGCCAAGCAGTGGGCTCCACATGGCACTAAGGAGGAGGTTCTCTGTGGATGAGCAAGCGTTCTCACAGAAATCATCAAGTGTAAGTGCGGTTTCTCTGTCAGTGGCAGAGATGAGTCTTAGGTCCCAGACTGTTTTGCTCTCAGAGAGAGGCCAGGCCTGTCCTACAGGAGTGTATTGTATGGCACAGTTACTCAGCAAGGGATGCAGTATACAAGTGACCTTCCCTAAAAGAGTAACAGCAAGAAATGAGACACTACGTAGGCAGTTGTGTGAGTTCTCCTTC